TATATATATATATAACTGAAATATATTAAGAACAAGAAAAATTTACAGAGCACCAAGCTTGGGGAAGACACCAGACAGACACTCTTATCTTACAATGGAAGAATCTCTAAAAGCTTGCACACTTTGACAGATAACACATCCATTGGATGTAACATAAAATAGAAAATAATTACAAATATTATTACACCTACCAATATTATTATTTCCACTATCCATCAACTTGTATTATTTCAAACACCAAAATTATTGCCCATAATCTCTTCTGAAGTGACCTCAGTGGGGTCTACTTTAAGCAGCATTCATCTTTACTTTGTCAATTTGAGTCGAGGTGGGTCACCATTCGTTCTTAATTTTCTTCGTCGTCTAATCTTTGATTGGAGACTGGTATGTCGTCTTTTGATTCAAATAATTTATTCATCTGCTTTTGATATATTTCTTGTATTCACTGTTTGATTTTGCTCTAGAGATTCACGAGGATATTTCCTTTTAATTTGATCATGAATTTCTTTTAAGGAGAACTCGTGAGTTTTTTGTTATCGATTAGTAGAAACACTAGATGTGATGACTTTATTAATTTGGATTATTTTGTCACCAATAATAATTTGAGACCACCATTTGATGAAGAAAACTCGTCATATACATTTGGTGTTAACGCTGTCTTATTTATGACATAAATTCCAGGCAAAGATCCATGGTATTTGTGGTTGGTAGAAGAAGAGCAGCTCGCACATTTCGTATGCTAAAAAATCATTTTTTTATTTTGTCGAGTTGTGGTGAGGATTGAAAACAGGCTGGATAGAGATGAGTGATTTGTTCTCGGAAGATTTCATTGGCGCCGCCAAATTTGTCCCATCATATAAAAAAAAAATTTGGTATTTGTTTATTTAAAATTTCAGAAATTAGCACAAAAAGCAAAGAACACTTGGTATTTCATTATTTAAAATTTCAGGCAATAACACAAAAAACCAAGAATGTTTATGTCTTGGATTAATAAGTAAAAAAACATGATTCATAGCTTAGACATAGGTCCAATAAATAAAATAAATTAATTTTTTTATTAGATTTGAGATGAATAAATTCGACCTATTTAGTTTGAAAAGGAATTAAACCCCAATCTTTTTGGTGTAAGATGCGATTAATTATCATCTTGCTATAAGAAATAATTTTATTTGGTTAATTATAATTGTGTTGAATTTCAAAATATTGTAATGAAGTGATGATTGTCTCATATGATTTGAGATCGAGACTATCTTGCGCGTAGGCATTTGTGTCTAAATATCTTTCCTAGATTTTCCTTCCTGCAAAGCTCCTAAGACAGTTTCCAACATTGTGGTATGTCCATCATGCCTGATCAGCACTCAATGAGTATACTGTTGAATTAAATTTAAAACCTCAATTACTCCATATGGGTTCCAGAAATGCACAAAAGTGTCTCATCTCAGACATATTGAAACTCCACGGCAAGGGCAACACATAAAGTAGTTTATATATAAAAAAGTTTGAAGTTTTCTTATCTGGGGTTGCCCAGTGTCTG